GTGTGTGTGTGTGTGTGTGTGTGTGTGTGTGTGTGTGTGTGTGTGTGTGTGTGTGTGTGTGTGTGTGTGTGTGATGCGCGCGCATCTTTTGAATGTGAATCTCATGTAAAAGCATGATTAGAGATTTGTCGCGTCGCATGCTCCGACATGTTCCAATATGCTCCTGCTACAGCTCTTACTCACTTCAACGCGCTTGGTAGAGTGAATAGCAGCTATGATAGGAGCATGTTGGAACATGGAGCTTGCGACGCGAACAAATCTTAAGTCTATCGCGTTGTTTGTACTTTTTGCACTCAGCATCTTCACTTTCTCTTTTTTCAACGCCCAAATATACATCTATCTCATTTTAAGTTCAAAAATTTTGAGGGATTTTAAGCAACGCAAACAGATCTAATGATTTCATTCTTCCTCATCTTCCTATCACATCATTAAAAAAACGTAAAACATTAAGGAGGTTTCTACCTTGTTGGCCAGAAAAAATGGATAATTTTTAGGAATTTATGGAAAAGGAACTATTAAAGATAAAATTCTAAAATTCGGAATACATTTAAATTTATTTTAATTAAACAAAAAAAAATCGCTACAATAATTTAAGTGATAGACAAGCTGGGCTGGCCGGGTTGGCGGAGTGTGCGGCGGAACGAGATGGCCAGCTGGTGGAAGTTCTTAGAGGCTCAAAAATGATCTAAAAAAAAACAAAAATTTTTTTATAATCTATAGAGGTTTGTACTTCATATAGACTAAAATAAAAAAATTATAAAAATTTTTGAGTGAGTTATAGTCATTCAAACAAAAAAAATTTTTTTTACGAAAAATTATTGCAGTTATTTATTCATAAATAAAAGTTTTCAATATTTTCTCTTTATTCTGGTCTACTTTAGAGAGGCGGTATTTCCGAACATTTTAAGACCAAAATCATATCGATCGCATGATTTGGAACTTGTACAGAACTTCCACCAACTTAAAAAACGCGTTTAAAGTTTAGGTAATACTTACAGCTAGTCGGCGATCCCAGGACCGTATAGTACTCCCTCGTCCTCTTTATATAGCTCGTTTTTTGCATATTTTTGAAAGTACAATCTTTAAGAATATTAAAAAAAATTGATTTTTTTGACCAATAAAGTAGAAACTCCCCTTAAAGCCGGAAACAATGAAATTCACAGGCAGTGGCCTAGTTTACATCGTGCATTTGATGCGGGTACTAACTGGTAATTTTCTATTAAATTATCTTAGTTTTGGTCATACGAGTAAACATATACATGATATATTTAATTAATTATTTTGATGTATATTATATACCAAATATATTCTTTAAATACATTGCTGAAATTAAGATAATTTAATAGAAAGTTACTAGTTAGTTCCCCTATCAAGTGCACGATGTAGGTTCTATGGCATAGAACGAGACGAAACGAAACGGTAGTCGTGACATGAGATAAGGCCGGAATCAAATTACGCATTGAAGATTGAGATTGAAGATTGAACGATTGAAATTTGACCAATCGAAACAATAGGATTTAAAATTCCTTTGTCTTCATTGGTCAAATTTTAATCTTCAATCTTCAATCTCAATCTTCAATGCGTAGTCTGATTCCGGCCTAAGACTGGTAAGAGAAAAACGTAAAAGTCGTGACTGGTCGGAAAAGTGTTTCGATCTCTGAATCAGCAGTGGAATTCTGTAACTCGTTATGCAATCGTTATGTGCTCATAATGACTACATAACGAGTTTTACAGAATAACACCCCAGTCACCCACTTTTCCGACCAGTCACGTCTGTGACTTCTACGTTTGTTTCTGTCTTACCCTACGTCACGACTGCATCTCGTTACATCTCGTTCTCTGCCATAGCCCTAAACTAGGACATTAGTATTAATTAGGGAATTAGAGATTTTAACCTATCAGAAAGCGTCCATTCTAGTATGTACATGATTTCTGATAGATTGAAATTTGTTATTTCCTGTTCCTATTGCGTGTGCTTTTCATTATGTTTCCGGCTTAAAATTCAAAATGTTGAACGACAGAGGTTTAAAACTATTTAAGAATTTATCGAGTTTGTGTTCTATCCCGTGATAATTGAAAATTTATGTGTGTTACATTTTATTTTTTCATTCTTTCCTTTTCCCTAAAAAAAAGAACCGATTAAAGTGCGCTTACTTTTTTTATTATAGGAAGTGCTATCGAGATGAACAAACGTATATGTCAAGTGACATTGACAATTTTTCGACAGATGTTTATTCTTATTTGTTTACTCTCATTTGTTTAAACGATAAATGAGCAGCAGATTTTCAAAATACGTTTTGTCTAAAATTTCATTTTTTTAGTTAGAGATGGCATAGTGTTGGAAGACTCATAAGTTACTCTGAGATGTTCAGAAAGGATTTTTTCATCATTAATTTATATGCTGAAAAAACAGACATTTCGAAGTGCATTATGTTTTTTAACTAGAGACGTATGACTTCATCGTCATAGGAAGAAAATTTGCTGCCTTAGAAAAGTTCTGTATTTAAATCTCTTCATAACATATAACTGAATAGTAAGATATTAAAATTAAAAAATCCATTTTATAGAGGATGAACAATCATGAATTTTCATTAGAATTTTAAAATAGTGTTCTCTTTATTAAAAAATTTTTTGTACATTAAATCTCAATTATTTCAGTGAAATTTAACTCGTGGCATCGTTTTCAGCATCCTATAAGAAGCACCTTGTCTGGTTCAAAATAATTAAAGAAAATTTTTTTGTAAACTAGTGTTATTAATTAAGAAAATAATCAAAAAAATAATCAACTAAATAATTAAGAAATATCTGACACTGATTACTGAGTAATGGAATTATCGAAAAATTTTTAAGTCTGATTACCGATTACTCGGGTAATTAAAATTATTTACATTCTGATTACTGATTAATCAAGTAATCAAAAAATTTTATGTTTTGATTATTGATTAATGAAGTAATTAAAAAATTGTTTTTACTTGATTAATCGACTAATGAAATATTTTTCCTTCTAATTGCTGATCGAGGAATTGGAAAATTTTCAAATTTGATTAATGATTATCTAAGTAATCGTTAATCGAAGCTAAAAATATTACTATGATGCCGATCTCTGGCTAGCACAGGCAATACTAGCAATATTAGTAATACGTTAACAATATACTAGCGATGCGATATGATAGCAATTCATCAGCAATACTTGGCAATATTGTGCGCAATAGGTGAAAATATAAGGTGGTTGATCCCTTGCATAAGTTTTATTGTCACACGGTTCTGAATGTCCGAAATGTTTGTAAATCGAGTCTCTTTCATTGCTTTCTTTAGTTTAGGGTGCAAAAAAAAGTCTGCGAGAGCATCTTGTACTCTCCTTACTCCCGAAGATCAAAGGAATAGGGAGAGTGCAAGTGATTCAAAATGATAACGTAAAATTGACTCAAGAATTAATATTGCCATACATGTTTTGAATTAGAACCGTCTAACAAGAGACATAAGGCGATATCCAAAGACGATTTTTCACAAAATTTCCGCTTAGTTATACGAACGTTGTCAGAAACGTATCGTCTCTAGGTGGGGATTACTTTGAAGAACAATAACGATCATTCGTATATTAATTGTTTATTTTCTCATAGCAGTCACTAAACTTTATTGCTATACTGTGGCAATAAATAAATAAATGTGTGTGGTTTTGTTCGCGCGCGCGTATTCAATTAATAAATATAAGGATGAAAAGGCCGAGCAAATAAATGACCAAACTTTGAATTAAGTATTTATTATTTTTACTTGTAGCAAAAATGAAGTAAAAGAGATTTCAAGTTTAAAAATTTTTGGTTTTAGGATACTTTTTTCCGCTGTTAAGTTTTTGCAAAAGTATTTAATAAGAAAATTGTAGATATTTTACTTTATAAATATTGCTCTGATTTCTATTTGTAAATAAGAGTTGAAAATAATTTCTCATAACGATGTTACACCACTTGACATAATACCCATTAAAATTAAATCCTTTATCATCATCTAAATAAGTCACATTTATCGTAAAATTTATTGCTATTTACATATGCTCTATATATATTTTTAATTTTATTCAAATTATTTAGCAGAAAATTACTTTTATAATACTAGAAGAAAAATTGTATTATTTATTTTTAATGGATTATTAATGTAAATTAATTTATTTTGTACTACTTACATAACATTAAATTCATGCTCTTATAAGAATCTTGCAGAGCTCTTATCAGTTACCTCAATTTCTGTACTAAAGAAACCTTCATCTTATCATTGTTTTCGAAAGTCAAAGCTATATGAATAACAATTAATCATTTGATAGAAAGAAATAATATATACAAATATAAATAATAAGAAATTTTGTCGATAATGCAATTATGTAATTTACTGCGCGAGTCTTGAA